TATATAGGATAAACTTGCTTGTATTAGAACTGCTTTCTGATTTAGCTAAACTTTTCCAGCCCAGTGAAGCACCCCAACTTCTCTTTCAGGTAATTTTCAGCAACACAGCAGTAAATATCAACACAAAACAGATTATTATTGTAGATCACCCAGGGAGAACAAAGGGTAAAATATTTAACTGCAGCAGTGTTTGACTATATTCTACATAGTGAGAAAACCTGAAGTCATTTTCAAGGTACACCATTTCTTACTTCTTTTCAGTTGGGTCAAGTTTCTAAACTTTCTAAATCTCCATTTTCCGGCGAATAAAAAGAAAATAGGATTCGACCAAATCTCCTATCTACCTACTCCAGGACTACTGTGAGGATCAAATGAGATGAGGGATGGGAAAAAACTTCATATACATTTAGTTAAAGCATGAAATGTTTGCACCTGGCTATAAAGCAAGTTGTGTTCCTGGGTTGAAGAAACTCCAAGGCTGCTAGTTGCTAGGGGGAGGAAGCTGGGTGTTGCTGTGTGACATCAGTACCTAGTGCCCACAGTCATCTTTTCCGGGCTGATCCGGGCTGTGGGCCACATTTTGTGCCATGGGGTCTTGGCTGCGATTTGGTGAGGTATCATCCCAGGGTGGTGGTGGGGCCTGCGTCCCACATGGGGAAAGCTGAGTGTTGCTTTGGGGGTGCCAGGTCCACGGTGCCATTTCTTTGTAAATGGCCAGTGCATATCATGGCAGCTCCTGCATTGAGTGTCTGCTTCCTGGTGGTCAGTGGGTGTCATAAGGACGGGTCTGATGGCCAGAGTTAGCATATTAGCCATATATATGTTCGCAAGTATACTGTTCCCATCAACTAACAGATTAATAAAGCCACTGAGACAGTTATAGACATTCTAGAGATGTCCAAAACAATTTCATGACAAATAACTGTTAAATGTGAACATTACACATTTGAAGTACATATATTCTTGAATTTATTCAATACATTTACCTATCAAATTATCATATATCCAAAGATTTGAAATTTTTCTTCTCTAAAGCTTTTCCTCCATATGAAAACCATGATAGAAGAATTTACTTTTCTCATTTTTTAGGAAAAATATGTAAAATAAAATTACTAAAGTAATGGGATTGAAACTGAAACGTGGGGTATTCAGTCCATTCATTGTCTTACAAAGTCAAAGAATGATGTAGTAGACAAAAAACTGTTAGCAGCACCATAGCGTAGAGAGAAGCCAGTCCTGGAAAAGGGGCATCTGAGGTTCCAGAAGCAAGCCAGTGTTCAAAACTTCCTTTCCATCCTACAGTTGAGAGTTCAGCATTCAAGCTAATTAAAGTCTATTAGCCCATGTGTGGAGGCCCACATGGCCATAAGCCACGTGAGCAAGGGGGAGCATATCTCCTGCCATTAACCCAAGAATCTAGCACTCTGGGAGAGAGAAGCACCAAGTTTTGTTGTATATATGCTTGTTAGTTGCTAATTGATCCTTTCAAAGAATTTTGAATTAGCAACATCCTTGGGATTAGTTTCTTTCTATCTGTGACGGGTAATCAGCAAGCTGCCTGTTTTAGCAACATTCACACATTTTAAATCTCATGTCTCCCAGGTGCACCCTTCCATCCTCGGCCAGTTGGGGTATTTTAGTAACTGCACCTAGTTGGGTTCCTGGTTTTACTTCGTTTCCCTCCCCACCGCATGATGCTTGTCCCTGTCTACCTAGCTTTCTTCTGTGTCCTCAGGATTGCTTCAGGATCTTTCTTTCCCCCCCCCGCCCCCCCCAAGAACAGAAATTATGAAGAAAACATTGCAACAAAAATATTTACCCAAGCTGAGGCTAATTCTGATATTCAAGGGATATTAAGGCATTTATTTCCTCTCTATAAAATGTGGCTTCTGTTAAAAGGTTTTGTGCCTACATCAATACATTTTATATGTCCACTTACCAATTAGTGGTTTACTGCTCAATTAAATATGACTAAAATGAGTAATTTTATCTTAGAAAAAAAAAATTTGAGCTTAAAATGAACAAGATTCAAGAAATTAGGTTTTTGCCAAAATGTTGGAAGTACTAAGCCATTTTAGTTTTTAAATGTGAGCTATTTACTTTTAGCAAACAGAATACTTCTCTGTTAGCTAAAAGGAATAGCTCACATTTCCACCTCTTTGCTCAAGTCTTCAGTGACCCAAGACTGCTATTGCTAAAAACGTAAAACCAGTATAGCAGTAGAGAATACATATTAAGTATATGGGAATAATGCATAGATTTCTTTTTTTAATTTATTTTTTATTTCAGAGAGGAAGAGATGGAGACAAAAACATCAATGATGAGAATCATGGATCAGCTGCTTTCCGAACGCTCCCCTCACCTCTCCCTGGCCAGGAACTGAGCCCCTACTTGGAATCAAACCATCATCTCCTGGCTCACTGGTCCATGAACCATGGGGCCACACCAGCCAGGCCAGGCTCATACTACATTTTTTCTTCAAAAAAAATTAAGCCGCCGAGACCGGTTTGGCTCAATGGATAGAGTGTCGGCTTGGGAACTGAAGGGTCCCGGGTTCGATTCCGGTCAAGGGCATGTACCTTGGTTGCGGGCTGATCGATGACTCTCTCTCATCGATGTTTCTAACTCTCTATCTCTCTCCCTTCTTCTCTGTACAAAATCAATAAAATATACTTTTTAAAAAAAATTAAGCCATAGAAAGAGGAAGGGAAAGACCATTTAGGAAAGACAACTAAAAGAACATGCTGCCATACAATATGGACTTAGGACCCATTTAATTTAAAAACATTACCTTGAGAATATAAATCAAGGACGTAGGATCCTAATTTTAAATGAAAAAGAACAAAGTAACCTATTTAAAATACTAATGCTCTTTAGGAAATTATACTTAATTAATCTGTGTGTATATATTAAGTATCCCCAAATTTTGAAAAGTCTTGATAGACCCAGTAGTGCTGACTTAATATAGCTCTAAATAAAGTGGAGAAAAGTGTAAGAACCATAATTAGCCAGGTGATTCATGTAAAATAATTTTTCTTATCAAGTTCCATAATTAATGAAGCCATGAAGTAAACTTTATCTTCCCTAAAAAACCAAAAAATGCATGATCAGTTAACATTTAAACCTTCGACAAGTTATCTTTCCTTGATGATCAATGGCATCATTCCAAAAATGTGGTTAAGCAATGAACTCCAACTCTATTCAATTGTGTGTGTTACCATGACACCTAAACAATCAACTGAAAAGTAAAAACATCACAAGCTGTTTTTATTCTGCAATAACATACCCAGGATTATGTATACAGGTGCACTTCTTAACTAAATCTGATAACGTATCTTAAAATTTGTAGATTCCCATGGTCTCAGAAGGCCAGACTAAATAAATTAGGGCACTGCTTTAGCTACCCTTTCAAACATTAAAACCTATGCTAAGAGCGAATGGAACACAAAACCATAATTAAACACTGTGCTGGTTAAGAATACTTGCACTTCCCTGTTCATTACTCAATAGGTACACCTAAAGTTTTAGACAGGAATTATAATTAGAAATAATGAGAACATTTTTTTTTAGTTACTGTACCTTTAAATTATGTTAGACTTATTCTTTGAAATTACTAATGATTATCCTATCCTGTTCATGTGAGAACTTAAAAAAAACCTCTCTCGTATCTGTGACATCTTTACACATGAAAAAAACTGTGTAGATACAAAAAAGTTTCCTACAGATATGACTTTATATAAAAACAACTAGCCAAACATTTAAGTAAAACTATGCATTTTATTCATTCATTCCACCCAGCTGAGAATTGCTCTATTGTACAAATACAGTATTGTACAAAAAAATCACAAAATGTTACAAAATAAAAAAGTACAAACTGCATTATTTAATAAATATGACTAAAAGTAGTTAAGTGAAAATGAGACATTTTAGTTTGGGAACATTGTTTGACCCAGCAAACTACAAGCTCTGTTTACAGGCATTTTTATTTGTACATAATACAGGGCAATTCTATTTTTCCTTTTGAAAGAATTTAAAGACTTAATATTCAAAATATTAAAACAACAGTCTCCTGCTATAAAATAACTGCAAAGATTGGTTCAAGGCATCCATCCTATTCGTTTTCAAATCTCAGTTTAATCCAAAAGCTATAAAAAGCAGGAGGCTTATCACAAATTTTTACACCATGTTAAAGTTCTTTTACAACAAAATGACAAATATAAATAAAAACGATTGAGAGCACCAATCTACTCTAAACATTAATCAGAATAATTTACCACTCTGCCTTCAGCAAATATCAGACTTTCATTCAAGTAAGAGCTGGCACTATCTCTTAAAGAAAAAAAGAAGAAAAAAAAAAAAGTCTTCCCATAATCTCCCCTTACATATTATTTCTCTTTAAAAGGTTGACCATTTCTATAAAAATAATGATTTCAAAAACAAATGTTTCATCAAAATGGAATGGGCCAATCATCTGATAACATGAACGCATCAATCTCCATTTGAAAAAGTATCTAAGAATTGTAAAATTCATCAACATAAAATTACTAAATCACAAACTTGATTTGAATAAGCTTCATATAAAGCACTTTTCTGGGTTTATGCCAGAAAGCTGTCAAAATGGAACACGTCATAGATGAAGTTACACCAAATTTTTTTAAATGTTGTGCAAAAATACCTTTTTATAGAAAATAGATTACCAGGAATGAATAAATATATACACTGTGAGAAATTAGCTTGCAAATTAAGTAGTGCTAACTTTATACAGCAAATTATAAATAGCAGTAGGATCGTACAAAGCTATCATGAAGCATCATTTCGGTGCCCAGCAACCTTCAGCTCTGAGAAAACATTCAAAATTTTTAAAAAAGGTTAAGGCATTTACAACCTACAGTAACCTACCATTAACTTTAAAAGTGCTATTACCCTGATTAGAGTTCATGTAATTCTCCAAAACACAATTCGTGTGTGCACTTTTCCCAGGGTGTAGGTTCTCAGACACTTCAAGAGCATGCGTTTTGTTCGATATACATTTTGGAGAGGGAGATGGCCATGGACTTGGCGAGTTCTTCGTCGCGTTTCCTCTGCACTTGAGTCTGTTTGCACCAGTTGTCATACTCCGGGTTGGGGTAGGAGTGATCAAACACCGCATCATAATGTCCGTTGCTGAGCCAACTGAGCCAAATGCTGGGCCTGAGAGAATCCTCGGGGCCCAGGTAGTGGATCATAGTGGACACCGTGGGGCTCTCCAGCCTCCCGCCAGTCGTTAGGTGGATGTTCACGTTCAGCATCTGCCCCATGGCCAGCAGCTCGGGGTAGCCGGCCCAGGCCCCGTCCTGCGCGGCGGCGATGATGAACTCGCCCACGTCGCCCTCGATGAGCGGCCCGAAGTGGTCCAGGTGGTCGGCGATGTAGTGCACCGTCTGCTCCCGCAGCTCCTGGTGCAGGCTCTGGTGCCCGTACATGGTCTTGCTGACGGCGCGGTAGAGGCAGTTGCCGTCGGGGATGATGTGGAAGCGGTACTTGTTCCTCTGCCGCAGGTACTTGTCCTGCCGCTCCACCTCCGCCAGGTACAGGGCCAGCTTCTCGTCCCGGGCGTCCGAGCGGGAGGCGAGGGCCGCGGCCGCCTCGGGGGCGCCGTTCTGGGCGGCCTCTCCGCTCCGGGCCGCCGCGGCGGGGGGCTCGGGCTCGGGGGCCGGCCGCCGCCGCGCCTCGTCCGCGCCGGGAGGGTCGCTGCGGTCGCCGGGCCGGTCCCAGCCCCGAACAAGACTCCTGTCCGCCGGGTGCTCCTCGCCCCACGGGCCGGGGCCGGGCTCCGCCGGGCTCCCCGCGGGCGGCGCGGCTCCGCGGTGCTTGGCGGCGGCCAGGGCCTGGCGGTGCTCGCTCAGTCGGAAGTTTCGGTCCGGGGGGACCTCCCGGGCTGCATCCGGGGGGCCCGCGGGCTCGGGGCCGTCGGGCCGCAGCAGCTCCTCCAGGAGCCAGGCCGAGGAGCCGCGCCGCGGCGGGGCCGGGGCGCCGGGCGCCGGGGCCAGCAGGAGGCAGCGGCCGCGCGGGGCGGGCGCGGCGGCGGGCTCGGGCCCGGGCAGCAGGCGGCGGTCGGCGGCGCCCAGGGCCCGCACGGTGATCTGCGCCGTGGACGTGAAGTGCGGGGGCAGCGGCGGCTTGCAGGACCCGCCGGGCGGGCCGGCGGCGGCGGCGGCGGCGGAGGGCGCGGCGGCCCCGGACACCATTTCGAAGCAGGAGAAGGCGGGCATCTTGGCGGCGGCGGCGGCGGCTTCTCGGGGCTCGGCGGCCGCGGCGGGCTGGCACTCACCGGTCTCGGGCTCGGGCGCGCCGCCGGCGGGCCCCGGGGGCGGCTGCACGGAGACCCTGAAGGGGGCGGCGGCGGGCGGCGGCGCGGGCGCGGCGGCCGTGGAACCCGGGCCCCCGGCGGGGTAGTGGGTGCAGACGCTGCTGTAGAGCTGCATGTCCCTGCCCGCCGCGCCGCGGCCCCTTATAGGCGCGGCGAGCCCGGGTGCGGGGGACACACCCTCCAGGCCCGGGGGAGGGGGCCGGCCGGGCGCGATGACCCAGGGCCCCTAGAATAGAAATGATCCGAGAAGAGCCGCCGGACGCCCGCGGAGAGCCGCCAATAGCGCCCGGGTCCCCGCCAAATTCCTGCTGCGCCACAGACAGCGCGCGGTGGGGGCGGGGAGGGAACGCGCGCCCGACCCCTGCCGGTGTGCTGGGCCAGCAGGCTCGGGGCGCCGCGCCCGCTGCCGCTGCTCCGGCCCCGGCGGCCGCTGGGGACTCGGAGGAAGCCGCCCGCCCCGCAGGAGCGCGTCCCGCCCGCGAAGAGGAGCCGTGCAGGGCGCGCGCGGAGGGGCGGGGAGGCGGGGCCGCGGTTGTTTACCTCAGGCCGCGCGGCCGCGTCACGTGGGCCACGCTGGAATGCGCGGCGGGTCCCGGCGCCCATTCAGCCGCGCGGGCTCGCCCCGCCCCCCCGACCAAGCCCCGCCCCGTTAGGGCGTAGTCTGGGGCTTGGGCCGCGGCGCTAGAGAAAGCGCGTGGGCGGGGCGCCCCAGGGAGAGCGCGGAGGGAGGCTCGGGCGCCTGCGCAGTCAAGGAATTCCCGGCCCAGGCCGGCGCGCCTCCGGGGCCGCTTCCTGTTCGTCGGCCACAGGTGTCCGCGCCGCGCTGCTGCAGGGCCGGTGGCAGTCTGGGACGAGCTAGAACGCTTTGCAAGCTTGAGTTTCGGAGGAAACTTTCGGGCGCCCTAGGCCTATGGAGGTCGCAGCGCTGCCTCAAAACCTGCCCGACCCACCGTTTCCTCTTGCCACCGCTGTCTTCATTTCCATTGTTAGGATCAGAAGGTTCAAGTCCTGTGACACCACCCATTGTCCCCAGCACCTTGCTGCCCTGCTAAACCGAAACTTTTGCACCCCCTAGTCTGTGTGACTGGCATATAGATGACATGGGAGGAAGCAAGCCTTTCAAACAGCCTTTAGAAATACCAAGTGTCTAACGACCTCCAGCCTTTTGAAAATAGGTTGCGGTTGTAACCTTAAATGTCATTGGCAATGTGGAGGGAGGGGGTCACAGGGTCCTGCTGCAGGCCAAGACCTGGTCCAACTGTATTAACTGCACCTTACTGGTAAGGGAAAACCGGACTATTCATATGATCAACCATGTGTCGACTATATAGAATCGAGCAGCTTTTGAGCGGTAATCAAATGCCAAATTAGTAGGTCTTATCCTACCATGTTAGAGGTGGAGAAATGGCTGTACGGCATGGCATACTCCTTTCCCCGCCCTTCAGCTGAAATATAAATTCCACGGATTAAAAGACTTTGTCTTGTCCCCTATTATAGTTACATCTCCAAGCACAGTGCCTGGCACACATAGCTGGAGCTAATTACTATTTACTGAATGAATTAATGGAAAATGAGTTCCCAAGGTTTCTCAGACAGCGGTAGAGAAGCCAGAATGATGAAGCATAACAGGAGCCTGGAGGGGGATAAAGAAACGATTATAAATATTTAAAATCTAAAATAAGTCATTTTAACAGGAATCATCACAGAAAAAAAAATTAGCATTAAATGCACAGAGGACAGACTAGGTGTGATGTAACCAATGGGTAACAGGCAGATATAAACAAAAACATGATGATTCAAAACTTTAACATACTGTAAGGCTTCCCATGCTTTTAGATTGTGTGGGGGACGTGGGCTATGTAAAACTGCATGTTCACTCTGAGAATCAGTGTCCACCCTATATCTTAATCTGAAGTGTTTTTCTGGAGGAAATGATAGTTCAGGAAACTCAAAGGAAAGTCTCCATCCTTGGACATGGGAGTTGTTTCCTGCCCTTGGAGTCCAAAAGAAGACAAGGCTTTACACAGGAGAGCGAAGAGATTAGAATGAGAAAGCAAGAGAGGAAATCCGATTCTTTCATTCTCCATCTGAAAAGAATTACTAATGATCCCATTCTGGAAAATCATCTGGTGGTGTGCAGAAATCTGGCAGAACTTTAGAAAAACAGGATTCTAAACCAAAATTATTGAATAGGCTAGAAAAACAGGAAATGCAGCAGTTATCAAACAAACAGTAGAGCAAGACAACTAATGTTTAAAACAAAAAGGATGGCCTAGCCAGTGTGGGCCAGTGGTTGCGCCTCTACCCAGGAACCAAAAGGTCACTAGTTTGATTTTTAGTCAGGGCAGATGCCTCAATTGCAGGCTCAATCCCCAATAGGGGGCAGGATCCAATGAAGTTTTTATCCCATCAATGTTTTCTATCTCTCTATCCCTAATCCTTCCTCTCTCTCTAAAACATATTTTTTTAAAAAGGACAGGCATTTGATGTATGAATATTTATTGAATACCTGCTATGCTCCCAGCATAGTGCCAATTATAGAAAATTCAGAAGCAGATTCTGTCCTGCAGCCCAGACAGCAGAAACCTAAGACATCTTTATAAAAGAAGACCAGCCAGGCCAGTGTTGCTCAATGGTTAGCATAGACTTATGAACCAGGAAATCATGGTTTGATTCCTGGTGAGGGCACATGCAAGCTCAATCCCCAGTGAGGGCTGTGCAGGAGGCAGCTGATCAATGATTCTCTCTCATCATTGATGTTTCTATCTCTCTTTTCCTCTCTGAAATCAATAAGAATATATTTTAAGATTGGATCAATCCTAGTATATGTTTTTTGAAGGTACATTTATCTAAATACTACTTTCTCTTTCTCTTAGTTACAATCTTTTTTAAGATACTAAAATTCCCAACCTTCTCACCTCTCCCAAAATAAAACTTTAAAAAATACAAACATTTCGCCGAAACCGGTTTGGCTCAGTGGATAGAGCATCAGCCTGCAGACTGAAAGGTCCTGGGTTCGATTGGTTGCGGGCACATCCACAGTGGGGGTGTGCAAGAGGCAGCTGATCAATGATTCTCTCTCATTGATGTTTCTAACTCTCTATCCGTCTCTTTTCCTCTCTGTAAAAAATCAATAAAATATATTTTTTTAAAAATACAAGCATTTATCCATATATCCATTAATTAAAGAATCATTTTTATATAAACATAATATGAAAAACAATATTGAAAAAGAAGTATGGAGAACTCATTCTTCACAATTTCAAAACTTACTATAAAACTACAGTCATCAAGACCATGTGATACTGGCATAAAGATAAAGTCAGTAGGATAGAATTGAGAGCCAAGAAATTAATCCATACTGTTATGGTCAGTTGACTTAGATAGAGTACTGATTCAATTCAGTGGGGGAAAAGAAAAGTCTTTTTCACAAATGGTGCTGGGGCAACTATATGTCTGCATACAAAAGAATAAAATATTTATACAAAATATTTCACAATTTATACAAAAACTAATTCAAAATGAGCTAAAATTATCAAATCCTTAGAAGAAATTAGAGACAGAAATCTCAGTGCCCATGGATTAGACAATGATTTCTTAGGTGTGACACAAAAAGCACAAATGACAAAAAAAAAAAAAAAATAGATAAATAGGAGTTGACTAAAATTAAAAAATTGGTGCTTCAAAGGACACTGTAAAGTGAAAAGACAAACTGAAGATTGAGAGACTATATTTAAAAATTGTATATATACATATACATATATATGTATGTTTAGGGACTTCAAAATATATAAAGACTTCATAAAGAAATCTTACAGTTAAATATAAAAAGACAACCCAATTTATAAAATGAGCAAATAATTTGAATTGACATTTCTCCAAAGAAGATATAAAAATAACCAATAAGCATAGGAAAAGATACTCAAGATCATTAGTCATTAGGGAAATGCAAATCAAAACTCACAGTGAGATACATTAGAATGGCTATAATAAAAAAGACAGGCAATAGCAAGTGGTAATGAAAACCAAGATAAATTAAAAGCCTCGGACATTGCTATGGGATTTTGAAGTGATACAGATACTTTGTAAAACAATTTAGTAATTTTTCAAAAGATTGCCCTTATACTTACCATATGATCTGGCAATTCTACTCATCCTATCTAATAAAATAGTAATACACAAATTAACCATCACTCCACTACACCTATAAGCCATGCTCACCAGCCAATCAGGAGCAAGTATGCAAATTAACCCAAGATGGCTGCAGCCACAGAGAGAGTAGGAGGGTGCCTTGGGTTTCCCCAGTGATGGAGGAAGCCAAGCTTTCTGCAAACCCTGGCCGGCCCAGGCCTCTGCTTAAGGCTACAAAGTATCCAATTGTAGAAGATAAGTAAATCCCAGATACCAGGGCCTCCACTTGGGTTGCTGAGGGGGCGTGGCTGGCTTGCAAACCACCACAGGCCCCTTGCCCAGGCCATCCCATGCCCCAAGGGAATTCCCCATCCTGATCTGGGACACCCTTCAGGGCAAACCAGCTGGCCCCCACCCATGCACCAGGCCTCTATACTATCTAATCAATGAAAATTATGCAAATTGACCATCACTCCAACACACAAGATAGGTGCTCCCATGTGGTCAAAGATCCTGCCCCCATGTGGACACAAGATGGCCATTACAAGATGGCCAGCAGGGGAGGGCAGTTGGGAGGGACTAGGCCTGCAGGGGAGCAGTTAGGCATCAATCAGTCTGGCAGGGGTATGGTTAGGGGGTGATCAGGCTGGCAGGCAGAAGCGGTGAGGGGCAATCAGGAAGGGAGGCAGGTGAGCAGTTGGAAGCCAGCAGTCCTGGATTGTCTAACTGCCCATTTAGGCGCAATCCCACCAGCAGTTGGACATCCTTTGAGGGGTCCCAGATTGGAGAGGTGCAGGCTGGGCTGAGGGACACCCCCCTACCCGGTGCATGAATTTTGTGCATCGGGCCTCTTGTAGGTATATAATCAGGAGATATTAAAGCCATGACCACACAAAAACTTATACACCAATGTTCATAGTAGCACTATTGATAATAGTCAAAAAGGGAAACAAACAGGCTACCCTTCAATTGGTGAATGAATAAACAAATATGTGATATATCTACACAATGAAATATTAGCCATTAAAAGAATGAGGCACTGACACATTCTACATGGATGAACCTTGAAAACATTAGCCTAAGTGAAAGAAAGCAGAACCTTACTAAAAACAAATTATTAATACCAGATGAAAGGGATATTTAAAGAGTGGGGCTAGTGAAATCTTTTTAAATTTATAATGTAATTACTTAAACTTTTTGTATAATTATAATGATATAAAAATAATTTGACATTCTGTTCAGCAAACATTTATTGAGTAAAACTATACTAAAAGCATATAAGAATGTGTTCCAGCTTAAACATATAATATATAGAACCAACCAAATTTAAATATATGTTGTGGAAAAAGGATTCTGAAAAAGGCCTCAGACATGGCAGACTCTCAATAAATATTTTCTGAATTTTACCAAGTAAAATTGAAATATAAGTAATAAAGGCAAAAATCTTGCTTAGAATTGTGGATTGACTGCTA